AAAATGTCCTTCAAATAATTCTATAAAGCACCAGAGGCGCCTAAAATCAACAAAGACAAAGGAGGATGGATTACAAATCGTGATAAATAGATTTTATTAACCTACGATACGTACCTTTGTTTCTGGCAACATTGTGGCCGCGCTCCACCCAGGGGGCCGTCACGTAAGCAAGAGGTCCCCTTTCGATCCCCGGGGAAGTCAATTTCATTAATACTGCGGTTGTTTCTTACGGTCTCCCCTTCTACTCTGGGGGCTACGTACATTTTTAAAGTGTATTAACCGTAACTGAAAACCTTCTGTTTTTCTGCAATTAATTATGATTTAAGCTATTAAAAAGTACAGTTCTGGAGAGTGTTAATTTCTTTTCATTTTTCAGCTACAAAATGGTGTTTTCATATACTTTTTATTAAAAAGGGTCTGTTCAAATATTTTTTTTATACTTAAATAAAATAAAGTAAATATAAACGTAAAGTAATTCTGTACATTACCAAACTAAACACAACCAAGATTTCATTATACCTGTAGGGTAACTAATTTTAATTAAACTTGTGCGTGAACACTACCTGACTACGTGATTTTTCCCTATAGTTTGCATCGATATATATTATATTTATTATATTTTATGTCTGTTATGCATATGTATATATATATATATATATTTATGTGTATGTTTATGTATGGTTATATGAGTATTTTATATATGTGCATCAATTTGTATTTAAGTATTATTATTTTATTGTGTTGACATTGTTCATTTTATTAAATTTTTAGCAACTTTGCTCTATGGCCATACTATTTTGTCTCCAACAATTATACTGGTTGACTGGTAGAGAATGCCTATGGCATTAAGTCCGCCGTGTGCTTATGTTTGGCAATAAAGTTTAAATTAATAAAATAAAGTAACTACAGACTTGTATAAAATAACACAGAAATAAAAGTTTTTCAGTGTTAAGTTTAGATAATTACACAGTATTTAATCAACTTTCAATCTCGATTGATATTTCTACTTCCACATAATGTTAAGTACTAGTAAACGTATTTAGTTTGACATTGTGGGTTACCTACAATAAGAAGAGATGGCACTGCCTTGTAGCCTAAGCTAGTAGACTATACTAGAGGGAATTCGACACGGCCATTAAGGCCTCGGTAGGATAACTGTTTAGTGCGTCCGTCCGGATAGCAGATGATCCGGCTTTGAAACCCATCTGAAACCAGCCGGCCAATTCGCTAACTTTTTTGACATTTACATTGTGTAACTATAAAAAAAATGTATATACCTATGTGCAATAAAACGTAGTAGTGGATCACTAAATAGCTCGGCAATTATAACTTCCATCTGTCAAAAGCAGTTAGCCAATAGGCCGACTGGTCGGAGTGGTTTTTTTTTCTAGTATAATTTTCTTTATCATTTAGTAATAAAGTTTTTGCATATAAGGTATCAAACAGTGGTTAATAATGATTTTGTGGTACAACCAGTTATTATCTAATTGTTAAGTCTCAAGATGAAAGTTTTAAGCATCTGACCATATTACTTCACATAACTGATTAACTCGCTATCCCGGGTCTATCTTGTAATAATAATTAAGTATATTGACATTGGGATTAATATTTCTCAGGAAATCAGATTTGTGACGAACATTCATTCATGCCATTCCAAAAATAACTATGATTATATTCGTCTATAGAGACAGGATTTTTCTTTGAATATCCTCAACAATACAGTTGCGGGATTTTTTCCTTCCTGGAAAAGTTAATAAGTTCGGTTGTTTATTATAGCGGAAGATGCAGAACGAATGCCCCTCGAACATATTTTTCACATAAAGGAAAAATGGAGGAGTTAAAAGTTTTTGATGTAATCTTAAGAGATTACCTTGGAATACTTTCAAAGGGGAGAAGGGACGGGCGCAGTGAAGAAAATTGTTTTAAGAGTTTATTTTTGTTTGCGAAAATTCAAGCATTATATTAGGCTTTTTTTTGAATGACTAATCCATGCTATAATTGCACCTGGGTACGTTTACAAATAATGTGGAATAATACCACAACCTTAAAAGACAGAAAGACAACCTTAGAAAGAGAAATCCGATAAATTAAAAAGTTTAATTATATTATCTTTTATATAAAACTCAAAGGTGTCTGACTGGCATAGTGATCTATCAACGTACAGCCCAAAACACAGGTCGGATCGGGCTGAAATTTGGCATGCAGGTAGATGTTATGACGTAGGCATCCGCTAAGAAAGGATTTTGATCAAATCTACCTTCTACCCCCAAAGGGATAAAATAGGGAATGAAAGTTTGTATGAAACTTTGTCAGTTTTAAACCGATCGGGCTGAGACTTTGCATGCAGGTATAAGAAGAATCATAGATGAATATCATTGTGTATAATACAAGCCTGAGAACAAAAACTGTAGTCTACACTTAACTCTACACCGAAGCGAAGCGAGGGCGGGCCGCTAGTTCTTACATATAAATCCAGATGCCGGTATATCATCATCATAATCAGCCGACGCACGTTTACTGCTTTTTAGCGACTAAACTGTTCCCAGTGCCTTCAAAAGCCCTGGATTTAAATCTCGAATGGGGAAGGAGCTCGATGGCGCAGGTGCTTGGCGCATTCGGCCTGCGATCGGAAATGTTAAGCAATTTTCGCAGTGGTCGGTCATTAGATGGGTGACCAAAAACATATTATATCGAGCTTCTCTGTGCTTTAAAAGGCACGTTCAGCCGTTGGTTGAGGCTGCATCGGCAGCTGTTAGCACCCAATTATACGGCTCATTGTTTTAATATTCTTTGATTATAATTTCAATTATTACATTATCAATCACATACTATCACATAATTAAGATAACTTAGACTGATTGATACGTTTTTTATTTGTTGTCATTTTAGTTATTTACTTTAGTTATTTGGTGATATTTAGATACAAATCTGTGACATGGCTCATTTAGCCAAATAAGCCATACCTATTTATTTATTATCTCCTTAGGGTAACATGCTTCAAAGAAAAAAACAAAAAATGTCATAAAAAATTGCCAAAACATAGTATAAAACAAAGTGTAACTTTTTTGTGTAAGACCGTAATCCCTTTATTAAGAAATGGAAATAAGCTTGCATTTGTTTATCTATATTTTGTCTCTGTTCATTGAATTAAAAACGGCATTTGAGTGATATGAACAAAACACGGCGTAACTAGTCTAAGCTTATTCCTTGTTTTTTTGGACCATGAGTCTAACTTAACATCGCGCTTAAAAGATAAACAACCTCCAGTCTTACTCAATGCTGAGTCTCATTAATTATAACATGTTCTATTCAGCATAATAATAATATAATTTAATTGCCAAAATACAGTTCATAGGTTGGTACATTTTATAAAAGTAAGTACATGTATTCTACCTGCAGGCAGGTGTGCAAATATTGAAGTCAGCTATTTTGTCATCTGTCATATATTCCTTAATACTATAATAACATTTTTTTTGTAACTACATATTTTGTCAACGTTCTTTTAAACATTGTTCCAGTTTCTAATTTTATAATGTCGGTTAATTTATTATATATACATATTAACATATTGCAGGCATTAACTTTATAAATATATGCGTGGCAAGGAGGCTGATATCATAAGTTTCTTTATTGACATCTCATGTGTCTATTGCTCATTTCTACGCGCTTCTCGAAATACTTGATGCGATCCCTGACAAACAAACATGCTTCCTTTATGTACATGCAGGCAAACGGAAGTTTTTAAAAATAAATAAATGGGGTTTTGCAGCTTTCAAGAAACCAAGCACCATCTAACATTCTAATGCATTTTTTTGCATCCTAAAAACCCTATCGATGTCTTCTGAGTTACCCCATAAGAGCAGCCCATAATTTAAGGCGCATGAAACATATCCGTGATAAGCCATTCGCGCAGCCTCTGTACTGTTTGTCTCACTCTTTTTAAGGCAATAACGAATTTTCCTATTTTTGAACAGACAGAGTCGATATGACATTTCCAATTTAAATTCTTATCAACAATTGAACCAAGAAATTTAAAAGATTCAACTCTTTCAATAAGAATAACAGGGTTCTTATTGAAAGAGTTGAATGTTTTAAAATTCTTAGTGCAATTATTGATAAGAATTTAAAATGGAAATTTACGATCGACTCAATTTAACAGACAGAGGTTTACTTTGGTAAGAATGAAATTGCATGATCTTAGTTTTTTCCATGTTAATATTAAGTCGGTTTGCGACTAGCCAGGTATTAGCCTCAGACAATGCTTTATTAATTTGAGTCTCAGTTAACTCTTTATTGTCACATTTTACAGCTAAAGAGATATCGTCAGCAAAAAGTACGCACTCATTGCTTATCATTCTAGGAAAATCGTTAATGAATAATATAAAAAAATATGGACCAATAATGCTGCCCTGCGGCACACCCCTTTCATTCAACAATATTTCGGATCTGAAATTCTTCTTATAAATTTTATTATTTGATTCCTTAACGATTTTCTGTATTTCAGTGCATTGTATTCTGCCCTTTAAATAACTATGAATCCAGTCGTATGCTTTACCTCTAATGCCATATAATTCAATATTTTTTAGTAGTATTGAGTGGTCAACAAAACCGAACGCTCGCGACATGTCAAGAAATACTGACATTACTGGTATATTACGATTAAGATTTTCAGTAATACACTTAATTAATTTAATATCGGCAAGTGAAGTTGATCTTCCTTTACGAAACCCACACTGCTCCTCGGTTAAAATATCATGCTTATCCAAAAAAATATTCATTCTACAAAGAAAAGCTTTTTCAAATATTTTTGAGATAATTGGTATTTTAGTTATAGGTCTGTAGTAGCCACGAAGCGCTTGGATTAAAAAAAAATCAAAACGTAAAACACAACTTAAAGTTTAATATGGTTTTGAGTTGTTAATTTTGTTTTATTGATAATTAGAATAATAAGACACAAAAAACTAAGATACCATGCGCATTATCTTATCAAAATCGATATAAAGCTTATGTGATACAAACCGTAACTTTGATATACGTTGATAAATTATATTAGAGTATGATATTTTAATGAATATTGTAGTTTTTACCAGTGAGTGGAATATAAAACACGCAATGGCAGCTCGTCTTAGTTTGCTGCTTACCCTGACAATAATCATTTTGATTAATAGTGTTGGTGGATTAGAAAATGGGAAGATCAAAATCACAGTCGGCACCACGGCTGGCTGCAGTGACACAGTCAACTTCATCACAAATCAACTGTTGCCTACATACAGAAAATATGAAAGATTTTTAGAGATCGAATTTGTTGCATGGGGGAGGACTCGTAGAGAAAATGGCGTTTTCACTTTTTGCCAGTTCAACGCCATGAATTGCTGGGTTAACCGAATGCACAGGTGTTCTCTGGACATGATGAAAGGAAACCAGACGAGGCAATTAGAGTTCATGTCATGCGAGTTCTCGCCACCGCTCCCTGTAATCCTCCGTGAGAGTTACGATTGCGCCATCTCATCGGGTTTGAATGTTGTCGACGTAGATTTCTGTTTGAATAATCCACATTTGGATTCTTTGGATGACGTAGCGCAAGAAGCTGCTGCTGAACCAGTTAGTGCTATAAACTTTATCCCTTACATTATTATTAACGACAACACCGACGTTAATGTCCACAATCAAGCATTACGTCGACTGTCCAGCGTTATATGTTTCTTACTTGCCGAAGACCCAGCGTCAGGCGTGACCGAGTGCCAAATCTAATCAGAAAGAAAGAAAGAAAAATATTTATTAACGACATACATTAACAATTACAACAAACATACATCAAACATAAAACAAAAGGTACATCGTCAACTAGGCCCCAACTCAGCATAATGTTGCAACGGCAAAAATGGATTGCCGCTGCAACGCTGGTATTCTGGAACGACCTGATTTGGACATCAACGGACGGAGATACAAGACAATCACTTAATATAGAAAATAAAAGAAGTCCAGCATCAAAAACAAAAAACTTAACATAAGAGGCTGAGCAGGCTCAGCTCTTTACCTACAAGATACAAAAAAATAAGAAAAAACTAAAACAAAATCAGTGGCAAAGTCAGCTGTAGCCATTTAGAAAAAAAAAAGTCAGCTGTATCAAAGTTTTGTGTCTTAATGTGAACCGCCCAATCGTGAAATTGTAAAGTTTTATCTTAGCTGGCATCTAAGCTTGAGGATTTTGAGATTTTCAAGCCAAGAGTTGAACGTTTGCCGGCTCGTAATCGACGAACTTGTGCAATTGGACAATCGTCGAGCGCAGATACGGCTAATGACCCAGTAATTTTTGGCGATAAGAAATGTAACGACAGCGTTTTGTTACATTAACATTTCTGGATGTATTCAAAATGTCAGTTGGATAACTTATTTTTGTTAAGCAACTTTATGTATAATAATGATTGTCATTTCGCTTATTTTTCATTATAAGTGTCATTTCATTTAAGGTATATAATCTGTTAAAGCCACGTTAAATATATGTTTTATTTATTCTTTGACCTCAATCATATGAAATTACATGTTATAATCTTTTTAAACGATAAATTTTTCGATAATAACGATAATGCGGCACGTGTTATCGAGAAAAAATTTCACATTAAAATATTTTAGCAGTACCGTTTAAATGCGAGTTTATTAAAATTTTTGTTTTCATAACGAAATCTTGCATTTATTGGTTACCGAATAAATATTTTTGTGTACCCAACGTTAATCGAACATGCTCTTTGAGTTGTTACAGGGTGGTAAACGGTATTGATAAATTGCTAAGTCAGGCTTAATTTTGGCGGGGAGTATGGCGTGGTTGGTTATTTTGTTTGCACTACCGTAATGGTTTGTAAACGACCACATCGACTGCCCTGCCAGTGCATTCTGCAGGACATTATTTGTGTAACCACACTGTTGTGGGATACGGGAAAGTCGCCATTATTTAAAAAAAAGCTAGTTTCTATACCTTCATCTGTATACACCGTGTTCCTGAGGTTATACACTAACTTTGGCATGTTATTCAAACTATTAAATTGATCAATTTTTACTATGGACACTTTTATGAATTCTAATTTCTTTAACATTTTTTATTTTCATACAAACTAAATGCTTAGATGTAATTTATCTAATATGAATTACTCTTTACCTGAGCTGGCAACGTCGCATTTGAAACTTTGGTTCACATGTCCACATAAACTTTTTGAAACTTTTCTTGACGTCAACAATGTTTTTTTAAATTTATACTTTTGAAACTATGTCTTAATGACCATTGACAAAGAGTTGATAGTTTGATAGTTTTGATCTCACAGATAAAGACTCTTTCTCACTGCACAACACAATTAAGTTGATTAAACTTAAATTACCAAAACTTAAAAACTATGATATTTAAACTACTACTTTCCTTGTACGATATGTTTAACAAGAGCTATAGAAGTATTATTCAAAGTTAATGTATATCCTCAGGAACACGGTGTATATATATATATATATATGTGTGTGTGAGTGTGTGTGTGTGTGTCTGTGTGTACAATATATACATGTATGTACATACACATATATTAATTTTCTACAAATATTTAAATTTATTTCATGATTTCATTGATAAACAAAAAAGTCAAATTTCCCAAACTTAACCTGAGGATTTGTTGATAGAAAAAAATAAACATACGGCGGATTTCAATGCGGTAGAATTAATAGTAAAATACGAAATTGATATTGATAATTGATAAATTACGTCATGTAATCAATTAAAAAAAACTATTATAATAGTTGACATCAAGTAAACATGTAAGTTAGCACGATATTCATGTATTTTGTGACGGGTATTGTTCATTGTTTACCGATGAGTCACCGGTGTCACTAATAATAACGCATTACTCGTAACGCATTCGCCAGTTTACCCTCCAAGTCAAGCGTGTCTAAAGAAGTTTCACTTAAAAAAAAAGATATTTTTAACAAATTATCCCAAATTAAGACGTCATTTCAGCTAACCTAAATATACCCCTTAGAGCCCCAGGACCTAACTTACCAACATACATATAATACGACCAAAATGTTTTTACTCAGGTCTTCTGCAAGGTAGTTGTTTTCCAAGATAGATGCTCCTATTAGAAAAGTCAATCCGCTTTGCCCTTTTTCCATAATAAATCTCCATGTGTAGCGTGTTTATTTAGTAGAACTAGTATAGTAAGATCCCGAGACCGCCAGACCTTACTTATTTTCTAATGAACAAATTATGGATAATTGAGTAGTGTTAGTGTATATGTTACCGGCCAAACCCGATTTCAGGACAAACTAGTTTTGCCTAGGCTAAACTAGTTCTTCCTATACGCGATAGGATTAATTAGTATAGCCTAGTCCAAACTAATTTGTCCTAAGCCAGATAGGAAAAACCAGTTTAGCCTAGGCCAAACTAGTTGATCCTGATATAAATACGCACACTCTAGGATAAACTAGTACGGCCTTGTCTAAACAAATTTAGCAGAGTCGAAAGTAATTGAACAAATATGTCAGGACTTGTACAGGTTGCGTCATGTAAAAAGAACACTGGAAGAAGAAGAAGTATGCGCATAGATGCAGCTGCAACAAAAACTGTTCCACAAACAGTTGCCAATGATGGCAATGATACTCTGCAATTCAAGAAGGCAATGATACTCTGCAATTCTAAGTGGCACCAAAGCACAAGTAAAAATAAATAACAATTTTAATAATTGAGATATTATTATTACTTCTATTAAAAAAACACATATTATTTGTTATAGTATGATGGTTTTTATAACTAATTATCCAAAACTTTTAACGATAAAAAAGGAAAAATATTATTTTTCCAATTACGGAGTATTTTATTCACTTGATCTATTTATTTTGACTTTCTAGATATACTATAATGATTAGACTACTTTGGCCTAGGCTAAACTGGTTTATCCTATCAGGCGTAGGACAAATTAGTTTGGACTAGGCTATACTAGTTAATCCTATCGCGTATAGGAAGACCTAGTTTAGCCTAGGCAAAACTAGTTTGTCCTGAAATCGGGTTTGGCCGGTAACATATACAATGATCGTATACATACCTGCTAACTTTTACTGTGGATCAATTTTTAGGTTTCATTTTCACTTTTTCCTACCTGTGCCACCTGATACCTGAAATGGCATACAGCACAGGTTAGCAACATAATTTAACTTTTTTTTTCTAGTTATATTTTCTTTAGAATTAAATATCAAGCAGATACATGCATAAAAAATAATAACATAATTATCCATATTTTGTCCATGAGAAAATAGTAAAGTCTGGCGCTCTTTAGATGTTGAACTAAAGCACAATAAAACAATATATTACGTTACATAATAAAAATGTTTGTTAGTATATTATATTAATAATTTTATAATCGCTGCGGAGAAATGGATTCTAATAATGCAGCTGTAGAGGATGTAACAGCGTAAACTACAATGTGTAGTAATGCACACAGCACATAGATATATACGCGACACTAACAAAGCTACGTATTTATATATAGTTGAAAACAAATTTCTCTTTATCCTAAAGCTTCGTTTTCATTAGCTAACATTTGTTTATAAACTATGTTTCACAATGTTGCATCACTTCCGTATACAGTTTAAAACAGTTTATAAACAAAGATGACACATTGTTTCACATATGAATGGAGAGCAAGATAAAACATTTAGTTTATAAACAAAAGTTCACAGGTGTGGACGTGTGTTACTAGATGTTTATAGTTTATTTAAACATGAAAGTAGTTTGGTCCGAAGACCAAGTTTCGATGCTTATAGAGATTTTTCGATTACATACTCGTTCTCTCATTATTATCTACGGAAGCAGCACAGAGCATTACTTACCTCCTCGGGCGACATCCTAGCAACAACTGACAAGTGTTGACGGCCAAATTTCAGAAACAGTGTTTACGGTAAACTTCTTTGTAAACATAGTGATAAATTTCACAAACAGTTTATCAACAATGGTTGCCTAATAGATACGCGGCCTAACTTTAGTTTAGTTACTAACTTTGGCTAAGTAACTTTAGTTTTAGTGTGGTCCTAATAAGACTCAAGAATTTTAACATAATAAACACAATCAGCACCAAGTAGTAGTATTTATAAATTATTACCCAACTATGATTCTATGACTACTTCAACACTAAACATTGCCATGTTATCAACTCATCAATTCAGGTTGTCGTAATATTTTTTACTGCAGGTATCAATCATAAAATACACAGGACTGTCCCATTAAGTTCCCGCGCATAGTTCCCCTAAGACATTATTCCGCCATGAACGGCCTTATGAGCCAATAAAGCCGCACCATTAAGCGATTGAAAAATGTCACAGGCCACTTTGCAACACCGATGCGCTACATTAAGCGCTGTTTCGGTAGGTGATTTTCGTATGGGAGCCGCTGAATTGGGTCTTGAAGCTTCAAGCATTTCGCATTTCTAAGCAACCATCAATTCATATCACTTTCTGGTGCCACTGCTATAATTATTGGAAGAAACGTATAATTAAAGCACAACATTAAAATCAATTGACTATGTAATTTCAGATGTTTATGAAATATTTCGTAATATGTTGTGTTGAGAGAATGAGTTCTTGTACCTTACAACAATGATTAATCTGTGTTGTCAAAAGAAGTAAACAGGACGGAAGTTGAGTTCATTTGGCACAAAATCGGTATTCATTTTAACATATAAATTATAATCATGCTGATTTGGGAAGAAATAAGTTGGTGTTAAAGTATTCTATTTAATTTAATTGACTGGGCATTTTCAGCAGTGTATCACGAGCTATGAACTTTTTAAACTCAGGCTTAACCAATGCCCAAATGTTTTGTCGATAAATGTTATAATCAAATGAAAATAAGACGAATACCTATTACTATCATATTATTAATTTGATATAATAATAATAATATTCTTTATTGTAATACACCATACAAGAAACACAAGTAAATTAAAAAACATGATAGATAGAACGTACACAATATAGGCGGCTTTATTGCTAGACAGCAATCTCTTCCAGGCAACCCATAATAGAAGGATAAATAAATATGAAGGAGAAAAGGAGGGGTGTTATAGAAAATAATAATAATATCAATGGCAGGAAAACAGATATATCTAAGGAAGGAAAGAGAGAGGATGAAGGAAATTTTTTACATCACTGTTGGGATAAGAAATAACTCCGAACTTGATCCCTGAACGAGTTCAGAGTGCGAGCCCTTCGAATAATTTCTGGCAAAATGCTCAGAGAAGGAATAGGAAAATAAATCAGTAGAATGACTTGGAATTTCAAAAGATAGGTTAGAAGAAGATTGCAAGGTGCGCTGTGAAGTAGAAGAGAGAAACGAGAAGCGTTCTTTTAGGCAATGAGGAGAAGTGGGTAAGAAAAGATAAATATAAAGATATAAATTTCAAAGATGTCTACAAGAATTAACATATTCGTCCTTCTTTTGTTTATCGACATTTTTACCCATGAAATAATTTGAA